CAACATGTGTTAAGCATGTTATAAAATTATGTTGGGTGTAATTTGATAAATTTTCTAGCTTTGATTGAAGCAATAAAATTTATGTATTTTAAGTTGTTTACTTTCATTTGGAATTATGAGATTGAATTATTGTAGCTTTATGATGAGACTTTAACTTACTTGTGAGATTGATGTATTTTAAATTATTGATTATCTTGCATTTTTATTATTATTTTAACAAAATTAAAGTTAAATACAAGTTCAAAATTCACATTGGATTTTATTCAAATAGGTATAATCCATGGAATTGCAGAAATTATAAAAATGAAAGAATTCGAGATAATAAATATAAGATTTTTAATATTTCAATGACATTAAATATAAACTTAAAATTATTTGTAATATAATTTTTTTAATTTCTTAAAAAATTTATAAATATCCATGGATATCCGTGGGTATTCAAGAAATTCATGGATACCCGCTTAATAGATACCCACGCGGATATGGGGTGGGTATGGGGCCAATTTTCATTTAGCGGGGCGGGGTCGGGTTTACTATTACCCACCCCCATGGGGCCCCATTGCCATCCCTATGCTCTGGATAAACGTTACTGTCAAAAGTTAATGGATGCTATGGAAACAAACCAAGAACAAGCAAGCTTTCATTTCGTTCGCATGTATGATTATGAGTGTACAAGATTTGAAGTTGATGAAATCTTCAATGCAGTAACACAACGAGGTGGGAAGGTTTTCAATGTTTTTTTAACTGAAAAAAAATGTGAGTGTGGTGTTTTTCAGGCATATAGATATCCATGTTCACATGCAATAGCAGCTTGTGCACACGTTCGTATAGATTCATTAACTTTTGTTGATGCCGCATATATTAACGAATACATCAAAGCGGCATATTCAAGTCAATGGTTCCCACTTGGAAGTGATGAAAGTAAAACCCGCCCCCGCCCCGCCCCGTTGCCATGCCTATCCAACAGGGTGGGGGCGGGTTTACTATTACCCGCCTCCATGAGGCCCCATTGCTATCCCTATTTGAGATTGTGATAAAGCTTATTTATCATGCCTAATCACTATAAGAATAATTCAAATTTCACTATCACAAGAATAATAAATAAATAAATAAATAAATATATTGAATATTGGTTACTAATAATTTTGTACATTTTATTGATTTTTTTGTATTTATTGGATAATTATTCTCACCTCTTATTTTTCTTTGTTATAAAATAAAATTAAAAATATTACAAAATAGATGGATCTACCTACGATTCCAGAAGCACTCATATAACTATCTGATTAAATTCTTCAATCCCAATTGCGAAACGAAAAATAATAAATGGAATATATTCCATTTATTATCTTCCTTTACTACAAAGTATTATAAAGAGAGGAGTATAGCAAATAGTATCCAAATTTTCTGTCTCAACGAATCGCACGTAGAGATATCGATAACACACATAGAGTTAATGGTATTTCATAACTAATCGATTGAGCAGCCGCTCGTAGACCACCTAAAAAGGAATATTTATTATTTGACCCATATCCTGACATAAGTCCAATGGGAGCAATGCTCGAAATAGCAATCCATAAAAAAACACCAATACTCAGATCAGATAAAACAAAGTTATAGGCAAAAGGAATTACTGAATAGCTTATTATAATGGATATGATTGATATGGATGGTCCTATACTGAATAAACGAATATCTCCTCTACAGTTGTTATTACTATTGTCTTCCCTGAAGGGAATTAGAATATGGATGTAATTTCCAACTCCGTCACTTTTCAAGGAGTAGGACTATCTTCATTTGTATTTTTCCCCAACCAAGAGAACTCTACTATTATCGATGAACCTATCATAATAACTTTCTTTTCACCACCTGCCAACCATGTCGATCCAATTATAAATTTATTTCCATCACCAATATAATTATTGTAATAGTTGTGTAAAAAAAATAGTTTATAAATATATACTTATTGTAAATATATGTACATTATTTCATGAAATTTTATTTTGTCTTTATTATAAATATTATTAATTTTATAATTGCGTTAGTAAGACATTATTTAGTATTAAAATTTAGAATCATAAAAATAGATGTTACAGTTCGTCTTCTCCTCAGGAGTAAGGTGTGAGGTCGGCACCACATCATACTTTCAAGGAATCCAGGTCCAATAGAAGGAGAATAAAGGCTTCCCATGAAGAACAATAACATCAACATCCCTAGCACCTTGAGTATAAAGCTGTTGGAAATATTTTTTGTTTTTGCTAAATTGCATAAGCCCGTTTGTGTTGACACTACAACGCCATCATCACCAATAAGAGAGGAAATATTACTGGCCTTCTTTCTCCATCACGCACTCAAAATGACGTGATTCTTTGGTGCCAATATACCTCTTCTTGGGCTAAAAGATTAGCAAGGTAATTCTTCAACTTTAAGAATTCTGGAATAGAGTGTAAGTTAGAATTAAGCCTAAGCAACTCAAGTCTCCTTGCATAAGTTTATCTCCTTTCTAAACTTGGCACGAATTCGAGCACCCATTTAACAAAACATTTGAACACGAGTTCAATTTATAAATAATATCTGTAGAAAAATTAATGCCCCATTCAGCATAAACAATAGATGGAAGTTCATTCTCCTCCAACCATTTATTCTCCAAACGAAATCTTTTTTACCTCAACATACAATCTCTTTGATACAATCTCGGCTGAATGACGTTTAATTCAACATCATTAGCGTTAATCTCGGCGTGAAAATGAGATTTGGGTTTTAGAAAACCGACAAAACAATAAAATTGCGTTTTTAACTATCGCCAATTATTGCAGAGTTATTGCTTACTGTAACTCCGGAATTAGTGCCCTCGTTTCTCACCCCTTCAAGTCTTCAACCACCGTGATCCATGATTCAGGCGACATTTCTTGCCTCCACCCTCAATTCAGGAGCCCATAATCTAACTCCATTATCATATCAAATAGATAACTTCTCATGTTTTAAAGAAACCGTTGTAGCTTCCCCACCTTGCTTCTTTATCTTCTTGACTCTTTTCAATGTCTTTTCAAAAATAAAGACAATAAAATTAAAAAATTACCATGCATCAATTACATGAAAAACAGATTTCAGTTGTTTTTTTCTTCTTTTGCTGTGGTTGGCTAGAAGATATTCGTTCTTTTTTCAAACGAGAAGATATTCGTTGAACAAAGGTAGAACTCTCATTTAAGTTGGTACTTTGCGTACTAATCTTTTAACGTACAAGTGGGATCAATTGCATATGACCGAACCACAAACAATACCTATAAATAGGTCAATGAATGCAGCGAGATCTAACTCTCGTCAAGATGTTAAACGCAAGTTGTTACTTTGCGATCATGTTTTTATTGAAATTGGAATTTTGGAAATTGGAGAGAAACATGGATGATCAAATTAAAGCTTTGAATTTAATTAATAATAAATAATTATATTTTGTTTTTTTTTAAATTATTGTTATATAACTATGTATTGATATCTTATATAATATAATGTTATATAGTTGGTATTGTTTAAAGACATGAGTGAAATATTTGTTACACCTAAAGCTCAAAGAGCTTAGTCTAGAATAAATCGGTATAATTGCACTTTATGTTTACAAAACAATCTCGCAAATTTTTCCGTAATTTTTTTTGAGGACCTTTATCCATCAAATTTCCGTTAAATCTCAAGTGGTGTCAATCATTTTTTTTTCGCAGTTTGAACTTCCAATAACAAACTGGATTTTAAAAAATGGTGTAGAACTTGAGACCAATTAGCTAAGATGGATTAAATTAATTTTGTTTAAGTCTAATAATTACTCATTAAGAATGGTTTAATTGAACTTAAGTCAAATTATATTGTTTGGATGATTTGACTTGATGTCTTATGACTTAAGGTAAATAAATAATATTTATTTTAAATATTTTAATTTTTTTTTAAAGAAATGTCACATGTTCTTATAATACTACAAATGCAAGTAAGAGTTACTTGGGATAATTATTTGATCTTTTGTTTAACATATAAGTAACTAATGAGTTTCAAATAATAGTAGGGATCAAAAGTAATAGTTTTCAATTTTAAAAGGCTGAATTTTTTTATATTTTAAAGAATCAAAATTCAAACACATTATTTTATAAAGACTTAAACACAGTTAAGTCTAAAATTACTCTCTAACAAGTCAAAATGAACTACTGTAACAGATTAATTGAAGTGGTTGACCATAAACAACTGAGTCTATTTGTTTAAAGTCTAAACTTAAATAAAAATATATCTAAACAAGTGCTTTAAAAAAATAATTCTTTAAAAATCATATAAGAGTTGCTTTTTAAAATAAACAGAAATTTACTTATTTTAAAGTAGAAGTTTAAAACATCAAAAAGGAAAAAGTAATTTTCATTTTAAAAAAAATATTTTTTATATAAAAAAATTAAACAAATCAACCCTATTGTGATTAGCTCTAATCTAAAAAAATAAACTCAAGTAGTCATTTATGGTCAACTACATCAATTGACCTGTTATAATAAGTCATTCTAATTTGTTAGAGATTAATTTTAGACTTAAATATGTTAAATTTCTATAAAATAAATGTATTTTGATTTTAATTCTTATAAAATAAAATTATTTTTTATCCTTTTAAAATTGAAAACCATTACTTTTGATCCTTACTACTATTGCTAAACCACAAAATGTTAGTAAAACTAACAATAAAGCGACTAAAGTTGATCTTGAGCGCTTTCTTCCTGTCATTTATTGATAGTTTTGGAGTTTTTTGCCAAGTGCCTTGTGAACTGACATCATACTCAACAGAACATGCTGTATTGCTTGCAATACGATGAAGTCAAAGACACTGTTTTGTTTGTTGTATAATAAATAATTATATTTTGTTTTTTTTTAAATTATTGTTATATAACTATGTATTGATATCTTATATAATATAATGTTATATAGTTGGTATTGTTTAAAGACATGAGTGAAATATTTGTTACACCTAAAGCTCAAAGAGCTTAGTCTAGAATAAATCGGTATAATATCATAAAGGAAATGCCTGGGAAGAAACATGCGGCCTTCCACGCTATTGAAACCCAACCCTTCTGATCGCCGAATCCAATTGTCCTCCACATCCGAACTGAGACATAACCAGCAGCAATACCAAGTATCATATAGAAAAACAGCATTCCTGTGATCAGCGTTCCGCGGGATGCTGGTGACATGAATCCAAGTGCAGCAAACAATATTGTCACAACAGACATACCAAGAATCTGAACTCCATCCCCAACCATCACACACAACAGAGCAGGATTCGATGGTGCACGGAAAACATCTCCCACTACAAGCTTCCAACCAGATAACTCTTCATTCATCTGTGCTTGTGCCTCCTTATCAAGCTCCTCATAACGGGTCAGATCCCTCCTAACAGTCCTCAGGAAGATCACAAGAACAATACCAGCAAGAAAAGTGATCACCATAAGTGAATTAAGGATAGAGAACCAATGCACTTTAGCACCCTCCATCTTTAAGTAGGCGTCCCATCTAGAAGGCCACTTGATGTCACTCTCCTCAAAGGTGACCTCGTAAGTGAAAACAACAGGCTGACCCTCTTTGATAGGCATTGCCACAGTGGCCGGATCACATTGGATAGACGAGGGATACTTGTTGTACATCTTCAAGTTTTTCACAGAATCAGCATTATGCATAATGCTGCAAGGAATCACCTCAAACCCAACAACCATGTATCCAGGATTCTCAGAAGATCCCTCCTTGCCAACCGGGATCACTTCTGCACCGTCACCAGTCCCCATTACACGAGCCACATTGGTCTCCTCATACTTGTGAACAAGGACATTGAACTTGAGGTGGTTAAACAGATAATATGCATCATCAATCTTAACACCAACAGGGAACCCCGTCCATCTCATGAAGTAACCCTCTTTCTGCGTGAACCGAATAGCAGGTAAATTATCAAGAATCAAATTAACCTGATACATCTCATCAATCCTCTCCTTCAAGATCTTGAACTGATCCCCGGACAATGACTCAATCCGGCACAAGTAAATATCAGACTCATTCGTATACATCCTAAACTTGTAAGGAGAGTTCTCTATTCTATCCCCCATGAGGAGCTCCCCAAGGTTCTCAGCACTGTCCTTGATACCACCCTCAGGCTTGCAAAAGGGCAAACTGTAATAGCTAAAGGGCATCTCTGTATCAATGGAAGTGAGGGAATTCACCTTCACCCACAACTCATCTGTGACACCATACTTGTGAGGATAACTACCCGGAAGGTAAAACGCATAATTGGATTGAATTTGAAATGTCAAGCACAAGATCAAGACCACCCACAACCCAAATTGCCCACAAGATTCCATCTTTGGAAGATTCACAGGTGATTCGTGCCAGATCTGACAGACCCAGATACAACAATGAGTGATAAAATGCAGAAAAATAAAACCAAACACTTAAACTAGTGTATGCTTTTCTGGGTTTAGAGATATGCAAATTGCAAAGGCTAAATAGATAGTAGTACTCTTTCTGAAAATGCAAATGGAAATATGACTAATTAAGAAACAAAGATGAACAAAAAACTATATTGAAAAATTAAATTTATATCACTAACCTCATGCGCAGGAAATGTGCGTTTTGATTAAAAGTCCGAGCGCATGAAAGAAATGAAGACGTCCTTCACGCACTGTAGAATAAGGGGCTTAAAATCGGAATGATGAAATGCAAAACCGTGCAATGCTACAATGTAGAGTTTGGTGCCTGAGATTGCACATTTATATCTATGGTCGGTTTTGTTTCACTTTGCTTCGGGAGCTGGTCACTGTGCTGATGGAGACTTACGTAAATGACATTATTACCCCTACCTTGCCATGTATGAGCAATGGACAAAAATTGAAATCTTCTTGTCAATACTCAATGTCACCACCTTCGCGAGTAATCCAATACCCACCGACACCGACACTTCCATATTTTGATTGTCTTATGATTTTTTTATTTTTATTTTTATTTTTTAAATTTTCCACTTCGGTAACTGTTATTGGAGTAAAAATTAGTAGTATTCCTCGTAACCATTCTTGTATATTAGAAGTACATTTCTTAGCACTGTTATTGAAAAAGAAATGATGAATAATGATGAATGATTTAAATGTATTTTATTTTTTATAAGAAAGGGAATTTTTTTTATTATCAAATTGTTTTTATTTTTTAAATTTTGAAATTATTACTTTTAACAGGTTTTACATATTCACTTCTACAACCTATTCACCTACTCTAGTTTATGTTTATCATTTTTTTTTTATTTTCAACAATTTAGTTTAGGATAAAAAAGGTTTACAATTACGATGTAAAACAATTTTATGTATTCATTAATGTGGAATTATTATTTATGATAAATTTGTTGGCTTATAAAAATTATTTTGATAGTAATTTATGGTTGGTTGATAATGTAAAATATTTTATACGAACATTAAATTGTTTGATTTATCTTGGACATTTAATTTAAGTTAAATAATTAAATTTATGCTAAACAATGTAATTTATATTAATTTGATATTTTGTTGAACACTTAAAGTATTGAACTAACATTTGTTTATAATTAATTATTTATGTTATTTATAAATATTTATTTCACATTTTTAATAGTCACGATACCCACCAGCTCTGAAGTGGGAGAATACCGGAACAGAACATGCTAACAATGTTTAGTATGATTGCACCAAAGAAAAACGTGACACCCTCTTATGGTATATTGCTTCTACACCTATAAAAGAAGAATTACCTTAGATCTAACTCATTTGTTTGACCAAAGTTATTAAATAAAAATATAGTGCATTGCGAATTCAGAAAGAAATAGTGAGTCTGCGTTGCTTTGTTGAGTTTGATGTATCACGCACAACTATACAAGGGTTACGTGTCACATCATTCTACACCAAAAACATTTTTCTATTATTATATTAAAACACAAAAACTAATTAAATTAATCAGCACGGATGGTGGTGTAAGAGCTTCTCCGAAGCATGTTGCTAGTCGTGATTTGTTCAAAGACAGTATCAAAACTTTCTTACAAGGTTCACTTTATACATATTGATGTTGTTGTTGATTCTTTGAATGCGGAGTTGGTTGTTACTATATTGGTAGTTAAGGGAACATATTATGAATTTTTTAGTGTATTGTATAGTAAAGGAACAATTTTTTTGAAATCTATTGATGTTTCTAGTGTTGATACCGGAAATACTAATTATTACTTTTAGTTATTAGATAAGGTTGTGGAGGAAGTGGAAGAAGAATTTGTAATTCAAGTTGTATAGGATAATAAAAAAACACTTAAAGCAGTTGATCAAAAGTTGATGGAAAAAAGAAAATATTTATATTGGACCGCGTGTGTAGCACATTGTTTGGACCTTTGTTTGGAGGATATAGAAAAAAAATGTGCAAAAGTTATTAAGCGATGCAAAAGTAGTAACAACTTTTATCTACAACCACACATGGATTGTAAATCTCATGAAAAAATACACTGGAGGTAGAAAAATTGTTCATCCTAATGTTACCCAGTTTGCAACACAATTATTATAACTTCACGCAATTGTACAATAAAAGCAAGGCTTGAGAAGCATGTTCAACTCCGAAGAATTTAGACGATCTAAATTTAGAAGAGACAAAAATGGACTGACATTTGAAGCAAGACAAATTGTTATTGGCAATGAATTTTGAAGCAAGGCTAATGATATATTGAAGGTATTTGGGCCTTTAGTAAAAGTTTTGAGGCTAGTTGATGGTGATGAGAAACCAACAATAACTTTTATATATGAGGCAATTGATCGAGCAAAACAATCAATTCAAAAAAAAATCTCGTTATTATTCTCAATACTAATAAATAATTGACTAGGATTGGAGATTCATGTATTCTGATCTTCATTCTGCTGGTATGTCATTATAATTTTACTTTTGTTATAAAACAATACATTAATACAATTATAGATACATATTGATTAGCTATTTATTTTTTAGGTTATTTTTTTAATCCAGTTTCAATATGGAATTGAACATGAATCTGATGTATATCGAGAGACATTTGAAAGGACCAAAAAGGTCATTATGAAATTGGAGAGAAACATGGATGATCAAATTAAAGCTTTGAATTTAATTAATAATAAATAATTATATTTTGTTTTTTTTTAAATTATTGTTATATAACTATGTATTGATATCTTATATAATATAATGTTATATAGTTGGTATTGTTTAAAGACATGAGTGAAATATTTGTTACACCTAAAGCTCAAAGAGCTTAGTCTAGAATAAATCGGTATAATTGCACTTTATGTTTACAAAACAATCTCGCAAATTTTTCCGTAATTTTTTTTGAGGACCTTTATCCATCAAATTTCCGTTAAATCTCAAGTGGTGTCAATCATTTTTTTTTCGCAGTTTGAACTTCCAATAACAAACTGGATTTTAAAAAATGGTGTAGAACTTGAGACCAATTAGCTAAGATGGATTAAATTAATTTTGTTTAAGTCTAATAATTACTCATTAAGAATGGTTTAATTGAACTTAAGTCAAATTATATTGTTTGGATGATTTGACTTGATGTCTTATGACTTAAGGTAAATAAATAATATTTATTTTAAATATTTTAATTTTTTTTTAAAGAAATGTCACATGTTCTTATAATACTACAAATGCAAGTAAGAGTTACTTGGGATAATTATTTGATCTTTTGTTTAACATATAAGTAACTAATGAGTTTCAAATAATAGTAGGGATCAAAAGTAATAGTTTTCAATTTTAAAAGGCTGAATTTTTTTATATTTTAAAGAATCAAAATTCAAACACATTATTTTATAAAGACTTAAACACAGTTAAGTCTAAAATTACTCTCTAACAAGTCAAAATGAACTACTGTAACAGATTAATTGAAGTGGTTGACCATAAACAACTGAGTCTATTTGTTTAAAGTCTAAACTTAAATAAAAATATATCTAAACAAGTGCTTTAAAAAAATAATTCTTTAAAAATCATATAAGAGTTGCTTTTTAAAATAAACAGAAATTTACTTATTTTAAAGTAGAAGTTTAAAACATCAAAAAGGAAAAAGTAATTTTCATTTTAAAAAAAATATTTTTTATATAAAAAAATTAAACAAATCAACCCTATTGTGATTAGCTCTAATCTAAAAAAATAAACTCAAGTAGTCATTTATGGTCAACTACATCAATTGACCTGTTATAATAAGTCATTCTAATTTGTTAGAGATTAATTTTAGACTTAAATATGTTAAATTTCTATAAAATAAATGTATTTTGATTTTAATTCTTATAAAATAAAATTATTTTTTATCCTTTTAAAATTGAAAACCATTACTTTTGATCCTTACTACTATTGCTAAACCACAAAATGTTAGTAAAACTAACAATAAAGCGACTAAAGTTGATCTTGAGCGCTTTCTTCCTGTCATTTATTGATAGTTTTGGAGTTTTTTGCCAAGTGCCTTGTGAACTGACATCATACTCAACAGAACATGCTGTATTGCTTGCAATACGATGAAGTCAAAGACACTGTTTTGTTTGTTGTAATTTTTCTTTCAACTTGGGTTTTAACTTTGGTGAATAAAAATTGATTAAAAAATAATGATGATAATTATAAATTATTATTTAATGTGCTTAATAATATATATATATATATATATATATATTAAAAAAAATAAACGGCATTTTAACTTGATTACATATAAATGAGATTGAAAATGTTGAAAAATACAACATGAATGTGAAGAAATGATTGTTCTGATATTGACATCACCTATTTACGGGAATTTGATACCAAGCAAAATAAGGAATCGACGAGTTTCACACTAATTTTGCAAAGAAATCTTTATTGAAATAATGGTCATCCATGTATTTAGTGAAATTAGATAGTTCTCTTCTTCCATTACATTTATTTCCATTTCCACAATTACAATCCCAATAGGCATTGTACCGGAAGGTCCCTATCGGTTACGTTGACCAACACGTGCCGTTCTGTCAGACACCTACGC